GTTGGCCCAGGCATGGCTGAGTGGCAAAAATGGAAAATGTGCTGAATCGGCGCGACGATTATTTCGCAGTCTAAATGTTTTGTTGTAAATGTTCTATTATTATTTCTGGAAAGAACACGACCTCATCTATGGATTCTCAAATTTCAGATTTTTGTGCATGTTGGTCTGAGCACAAAAAATCGCCAAAGTTGCGTCTTGCAAAATGCCTGTTTCGTTGTGCCTGACCTCCCTGTTTTGAGAAGACGGGGCTCAACGCCTGGGCCTGAGGGCCCTTTTGCAGATCACATGCCCTCACTTCTTTTTGGGGTCCGCTTCTACCCGAGGACCGGTCCAAGGCCCCCACTTCTTTTTGGGGTCCTTTTCCAACCGAGGACCGGTCCTTCGTTTTTCCAAAAGTCCCGGTGCTACCAGAGCTAGCTGTAGGTAGTCCGCAATTTTACCAAGGACCGGTCCCCCAAATTTTTTTGCCCCCGAAAAACCCACTTGAGTCCTGGTCGCCCGCCGCCAAAAATGCACCTTGACACAGACGCCGAAGCCCACTATAGCGCAGCCCTTAAGCCCACTATAGCGCAGCCTAAGGGCTGCGAATTTGCGCTGTGACCCTGCGACAGCCGACTTTCCCTTTCGTGCCCCTGGGGCCTCAAAACTTTCCTGCAGGCCCCTATCAGTGAGGTGCACAATTTTCCAGCATGCCCCTGTGGCCGTTATAGGCACCCGTGACCATTCCCCTGGCCCTGGCAGGGGGGAGACGGGGGCATACTGGAAATTTGGCATTGGTACCAGCAGGGGCATATTCAAACATATTTCAGGCCCATACGGCGCCAGGGGTTTTGCGGAAACTTCCATTGCTGTCAGAAGGGTACGACAGGCTAAGTTGGCCATCAGAGGGGCACACCGCAAATAAATCGAACAAACTTCAGGGGCATATCGCAAATTTCCCTAAATACAAAGGTTTCGCCAAAGGGGGTGGGGGGTTTATAACACTTCCAGCCCTTGCAGGCCGTGATTCGACACCACCATGACACCATCTTTCACGACACTCTTCTGATCTGCACAGACTGGAGGATTTCTTTCTGCCCCTGCTGACAGAGGTCCGACACCATGACCACCATCTCCCCTTTCTTCATGAATCCTCTCTTCTGCAGCAGGGCGAAGGCTCTCTTCACGTTCATCTCCATGTCCTCCGAGAGCTGAAGACGGAATGGACTCAGACCCCAATGAAGATTCAGTCGCTGTCTGACAATCTGACTGTCTGTGAAGACAAAGACCGGACAGTTTGGACGACAACGAGACAGCAAGGATGCAATGTACCCCGTCTTGGTCCACACGACGACGGCCTGAACCTCCAGACGATTAGCGATCTCTGTAGCTCCCATACACACCTCCTCGCTGATCTGGTCGCAAGGCAAATTGGCCATTCTTCTCATGTGATGGAGACCCCGGTTCTCGTCGTCCTTGCCCTTCATGTAGGCCTCCTCCGTCCTCCTTGCTACAGCTTCTAGAACCTTCACAGCCTTGATTGGAAAGCTACCGATCGCAGACTCACCGCTGAGCATTAACGCATCCGCACGCTGTCGAACAGCCTCGCTTATGTCTGCCACCTCTGCTCGCGTAGGTGCAGGGTACTGCATCATTGACTCAAGGAGCTGAGAGGCGACGATCACCGGCTTATTTAGTTGACGGCACAGATTAATCACTTGTTGCTGGACTCCAGGGACCTGCTCGAGCGCAATTTGAGCCCCAAGATCCCTTCTTTCCACCATCACCCCATCTGCAGCCCTGATTATGTCCTCTAGACAAGGCAAACTATCGATGCTCTCGATCTTGGCAAATACAGCGATCGGTCTTTGAGAGGATTTGGATTGAATATAGCTCTTGACATTAGCAATCACCTCCGCCGATCTGACGAAGGAGATCGAAATGACATCTACGCCCTTGCAAATGCCGAAATCTATGTCTTTCCAGTCCTTTGAAGTAAGGGTGGGAAGCACAGCGTTCGTACCCCTGACTAGCTCACCGTTGCGCCAGAAGGTAAGATTGCCACGTGGCAGCAGGAGACCTGAGTCCGTGCATGTGGCGATCACATCTGGACCGTTCTTTCGAACTACCTCGAAGCGAGACATGCCGCCGTCGACGACGATACCGTCACCAACCAGAACGTCATCCACAAAACCGTCGTAATTGACCATCACGGTGTTGGGCGGCGGTGGGGGACCGTTGATCTGCCGCACAGTGAAGGTCCACACATCGCCAATCATGGTCTTGATCGACGGCTCCCGCAAGTCGCCCATATGGATTTCGCTCCCCTTCGTATCCATCATCACAGCCACGCCATAGCCGTTCTTCCTGTTGAGCTCTCTCACGCGGTCAATGACCAGACCATGACACTCGTGCGTGTTGTGGCACATGTTCAACCGTGCGACATTCATGCCGCACACTGCCAGCGCCTCCAGCTGCTCGGTGGAGCACGTCGGAGGGCCTATCGTGCAAATCAGCTTCGTCCTGCGTGTGCTTACGAGGCCGTTGTCGCGGAGCACGACGTCCAAGTCTAAGGCGTCGCTCCCTAACCCGGTGGTGAAGAGGGAGAGGGAGGGAGAGTCAGATGGACCCTTTTTGCCCGATGCCGGCTTCCCCATAGCCGAATCCACATTACTTCCAGGGGATGGAGGAGGAGGAGGGGGAGGAGGAGGAGGACTAAGAGGAGTAGCAGACGAGCAAGCTTTGCCAGATGACGAAGATAGCTTCTTAACCTTGTTGACGTCATCATGATGCTCCGAGGCCGTTGGACTGCTGGCGCTAGCTTGCGGCAAAATAACAGCAGTGAGTGTCCCACCCGCGCGTTTCTCGGTCATAGCATGTGCCACGTGGCGATTCCTCTTCGAGTTCTCCGATTTGGCGCCAAAACGTCCTCTTCCACGTGCACCCACGAAGACAACTCTGTTGACGTCATCTCTGGTTCCCATAAGCACGCCAGCACCTGTGCCTCCTGATCGCCTCGGAGTCTGCGATCCCCCGGGCTCGCGTTTAGCAGCCCGATGTGCCAGTGAGCAATGAATAAGGCGTTCTGCGCCCATTCGCCCACTTTCTTGCATACATTTTGACACGTGGCAGCACGCAGAAGCAGGACGGGTCTGTTGCCGTGACGGGCAAGGTCTGCCCTTCACCCAGCTGAAGACGCTCGCCGTCGAGCTCGTCGCTTCCTCCTTTCTTGTGCTATGAGAGGCAGATAGTCGAGACCACGGATGATACGTCCCCATTGCAGGCGAACACATCCTCAAGGCGTCCGCCATCTCTCTCTCTCTCTCTCTCTCTCTCTCTCTCTCTCTCTCTCTCTCTCTCTCTCTCTCTCTCTCCCCCCTCCGCTGCTACCCTTCGCTTTCGGCTTCGCTGGCCTCTCTCGCCCCTGTCTTCGAACTATTCAGCTTTTGTCGCAAGCTTTTCTGCCTGAACATTTTGGAAACAAATAAAAAACAGAGGCCAAGCTCAGGCGTCAGCGATGGAGTGTACTACCTTTTAGTGTAATGCTCATCTGTTTTACCAGCCTGAGAAAGATGCTTTTAGTTTTCTCTTGAGGTCCTTTTTCCGGGGGGCCGGGGAAGAGGGGGGGGTTGCACCCTACGAGTGAATGCTACCTCGTCAGACTGATTGTGTTCGTTCATTTCCGCTATTTTATTTCCGCTATCTGAATGAATGGCCGTAAGTGTTTTCACTTGGCTTACATGTTGATTTGGAGTTTTTTTAATCTCTATTGCGACATACACACAAACTACCTGGCAAGCCAAGTGAAAACTAGCCGGCGGGGGATTGCTACCTCGTCCGACTGATTCTGTTGGTTCATGTCCACTATTTTATTTCCGCTATCTGAATGAATGGCCGTACGGTTTTTTTTTTGTTTTTTTGTTTTTTTTTTGGCACGTTGCTTTGGAGTTTTTTTTCTCTCTACTACAGTAACTTCACCCTACGAGACCACCACCCTCCCTTTGCTCGCCACAATTCTTCTCCCTGCCAGTGGCGCAACACCAACTCCGCTGTCCTGCCTCAGTACAACGACCATTACCCAACCAGGCGACCGAATCCCCTTCATAGCCGACTTTCAGGATCACCATCCCAGACGTTCATCCAATCCAATCACCTACATCTCACTTTCAGGTATACATCGATTTCTGCATGTCACCCTATAAAGCGCAGGGTCCATTTGCATTACCCTTCTGTGTATCGTTCCAATTTCAACGGATGTCCCTCTGAAGGACTTTCAGGAGCACTTCTCCTTTTGCTATTGTTTCTTTGTTTGTTTTTTTTTTTTTTTTTTTTTTTTGCCCCCCTCATGGTTGTATTCTGTCGACAGGCCAACGAGAGCCCACTTGGGGGAGGAAAACGAGAGGCGTTCTGACGTGCGCTCAACTGGTCGAGGAATGGAATGCCCGGCCAGTGCCGTAGTCGAGGACGGGCTGGCTCCACAAATATATAAAAATATATACTCTTCAGGGAGTGCTCACAAAACGCCCATCCTTGGCGTGAGTTCTACGAGCATACTCACACTACTGTAGGACGTTTTCGACTGAGCTCCGGGGCCCGTAATTGCAGTCAGATACATACAGGTCAAGCTGTGCATCTAGTCAGATACATCAGGCAAAGTCCTACTCCGAGTGAGCCCTGAGTCAAAATTGTAGCAGGCTGGCTATATATAGAATAGTGAGAGGATGAGATAGATGCGTACTATCAAGAAAAATGAGATAGATGAGAGAAGAATATAGCTTACCTTTAAAAAAA